GCTTTTGTTTTCTCCGATCTTGTGAGACGCCCTGTGCTTTCGTTTTCGCACTCTTCCAGGTGCTCCGTCCTCCTCACGCTGAAGGCCTGTCCCGTTTCGCCCACGAACGTTTTATTGCAGGATCAACAGGGGATTTCGTATTTTTCGTTGCATTTATGGTCCGGCTGGATTTTGTCCTTGGGATGTACCAGAAGCTGCCTGAGTTTTGTGTTTGGTTTGACCACCGTGTGAATATTCAGTTTCATCATGGCTCTTTGGATCGATTCTGTGACTCCACGGTAAGGTGACTATTTCTTTTTCTTCCTGTTTTGCTTGGTTGTTTTTTTTCTTGCGCTGTTTTCCCCTGTTTGTTCGAATAGGGTTCTGACAACTGATAATTTGTGGGATGTTCAGAGGTCCAGAGTAGATATTGATCCGTATGTGTGTGTTTTCTGTAAATTGATGTTCCTATGCTGCCGTCCGGTCTGTGGTTTATATTGATGTCCAAAAATGCTGTTTTTCTTTCCTTCTCCTCTTCGTGTGTGAATTGTATGTTGCCGGTGGTGTCTATGGAGTTGAGATGGTCCGTGAGTGTTTGTTTGTCCCAGTTTTATTTTCTCCAGTATGTCGTCCACGTACCGTTTCCACAGTGTGGGCCTGTAGTGTAGCGTTGCCGTATTTATTGCTGTTATTTTTAAATCCTCCATGAAAAAATTGCTCATGACAGCAGATAGTGGGTCACCCATAGCAAAACCTTCTTTTTGTATGGATGATGGATGGATGGAACTTTCATTTAAGCGTCACTTTAAGATATGTAATATTTAGAAAGTGTCATCTCGTTTAAAACGGCATTTTCAAACGAAATTACACTTTATCTTACAGTGACGTTTCTGTCATAATTATGTATTTAAATGAAAGTTTGACTTGTGTACATTCACAACAAGACCCTAGGATGCATTTTGGCCATGGTTTCCCTTCAATATTAAAAAAAAAAAAAAAACTTTACTTGAGTGACGACAAGCTTTGGCAGGAACCAAAGCATCTTTTTAGAGATCTGGTTTGAGCTGAGCTACTACAACACTGCCATCTAACACACTTTAGAAACCACCCATCTATGAACCCACCTACACAGCCACACTCAAACATCACATCACTCCCCTGTTAAATGCTTGGACACCAAAAGAGGGAGAAAAAAACCTTTACAGATACACATTTATCAAACAGGTATTTCGCTGAAGCACCCTTCAAGAACTAAGGGATCATTTAAACACAAGATTCTTTCTGACTGGGGAAAAAAAAAAAGAAGAATAGGAGCAGGCAGACTTTCCAGGTCCATGTTCTCTATCAGGTGCTTAAGAACTTGAGGTATTGCTTTAGAAATCTTTTTAAATTCTGACCTTCGACATGTAATGTTGTGAAGGGAGCAGAAATTTTCAAACGATAATCAGTTTCCTTGGTCATCCACTAGATGGCGTAGTGACCACACACATTTATCCATCCAGTTCTGCAAGACAATAGATCTTCTATTACAGAGAACATATCTGTTGTTCCATACTGGGGTTTGATGTGGAGTAAAATTGTGGTTGTACATAAGTTTCCGGCTTAACAGGACTTGTTTGTGACAATTTAACTGGCAATTTATCAACATTAACATCACACCTAAGGACAAATTCAAAACCTCCCATTTTTTCAAATAGACCTTTGGAGAGACAGAACCGGATGCTAATTTTTTCTGTTAGGAACTTCTTTAGCCATTTAATTTTTAGTACAGTGTTTAAACACTCAAGGTCAATTGCCTTAAATCCACCTTCTTCATATTCTTCTACAATTTCAGATTTTTTAATGTAGTGAACTTTGTTCCTCCAGATAAAATAAAAATTTAGTTGGTTTATAGCTTTTATTGATTTATCTGGGATAGCCATAGAGTTGGCTGGATAAATACATCTTGCTAGAGATTCAGTTTTAGTTAAATGTGTTCTTCCAAAGATAGTTAAGTCTCGTTGTAGCCAAGAATTCAATTTAGATTTACATTGTTTAATTTTTGCCTGTATGTCTAATGACTCACTAGCAGTTGCGTCATTAGTTAGATTAATGCCCAGGTATTTCACACAAGATTTAATTGGAATGTTATATGCCTCTAAAAGGCTGCAATCATGTATGGCCATAAGTTCACATTTATTATTGTTAATTGTTCTAGGTTTTTGAGAAAAACAATTGTGCTATCTGCAAGTTGACCAATCACAAGTTTTTCATTAAAGATGTTCAATTTTTCAATGTTCGATTTTGTTTTTAGCATAATGGCCAACATGTCAGCCGCCATTATGAATAAGAAAGGTGAAATATTGCACCCTTGTTTTACTCCTCTATTTAAAGAGAAACGTGGTGTGGTACCAGTTGGAAGCATCACTGTGCTCGTAGTATCTCCATAGAATGTTTCAGTTACTTGACAAAATTTTGATCCAAAGCCACATGCTTGCAGTACTTGAAATAGAAATTGGTGCTCTAATTTATCAAAAGCCTTATGGAAATCAAGCAATGGAATGAATCCTTTGTCTTCAATTTGGTCATTATAATCTAAGAGATCTTTTACCAGTCATCACATAAAACTTATCTAGTGTGCAAAAAAAAAAAACAACTTGCAGATCTGTTTCTGAACAACATTCATTTGTGGTCCATGACGCTGCCAACAACTGAAGATCTTGTGCTTCTGAGACTTTGAGAGGTGTGTCAGGTTAATTAAGAATAAGATTTGTGTAACTAAAATTACTAAACCTACCTCAGAGAGATGAATATTGTATAGGGAAGAGTGAGATAAGATGAGCCAGTGGGTAAGTTGACCCACCCCTTGTATCTAGGTAACCGTGCACATGTTTTGTCATGTGACCATAAATTCAGGAAGCACCCATCAGTTCCATCTTGCTGTGATGCAGAGAAGCACATGGGAGAAAGGTTAAGTATTTTTGTACATGAAAAACTGTTTTTTGCTTGTCAAAGTAAATTTTCTGCATATCAGGTAAAATGACTGTTCTGTCAAAGCAAACTGATCCAGGTCTAAAATGATATATTATACATGTTGGTGATTTGCTAACATATAAAATCATGTGAATCACTTCACTAAAGATTAGCCTGAATTTCTAAGCTAGCCAGTTTTTTCCAAAATGGTGGCTGTGGGCCAAAGTGAGCCAAAGGCTATGGGGTAAGGGGGGGGTTGTCACTACATTTTGCAGTGACAACCATGAACCCCCGTAAACCTATGCAGGCCCCTATACAGTGCATTGAAGGTGGTGCCCCACAACCCCACCTTGTGGGGCCCCTCTTCACCTCTTTGCCTGGGGCCCCTCAGAACCTAGGATCACCTCTGACTATTCCCCTGCAACCTTGACAGTTGGAATATTGAATAGTTGTTTTGATTAAATGGCTAAATAGTTATGAAACTAACTGATGGTTTGTTTGGAAACTAACTGGTGGTATATTCTCACAAGTTCAAAACTGTTAAAACTGTGTGCACAATATACTCAGGTTTGCATTTTAAAACTCAGATGGTCAGTTTACCCCCAGATGGCTGAACTTACCCACTTACTTGGTTCAACTTACGCCTAACCTGGGGCAAGTTGAGCCACAGGAGCACTTTTTTTGAGAAGTCATTATTTTGGGCAACTTTGTCAGAGATGCATTCTGATAATTTCATCTGATAGGAGACATCCTGAAATACAGGTATATGTTGTCATTCTATTTCTGTGTCGTTTTTCCTAACCTCCAGGACAACATAAGTAAAAATTGGCTCATCTTACCCTGCTCTCCCCTATGTGTTGAATATTTCAAATTGTTTTTCCATCGAAATATAATTCTGAGATTGATTGCTTTAAACCATGTTGTGTACTTTTAGGCTGAACACTGATTAATGAGGCATGGTTAAGATGTGTTTTTATGGATTTGTGATATGAGCAGAGACACAGATATAGATCTTTTTAAATTAATTTTATTGGAATGCAAAGACATTGGGTAGACAAAACTTGATCCACCAACACCTACCACTTCCTAGCTTTTATTTGCGTGACCTTTATCATTTGACAGTATCAGAAGCTTACACTGTAAATACCGATAAAACGTCACAGTACAGTAAATACCTGGCTTTCTGCTACAGATGAGAAAAGCGCAGAATATACTAATATACTATTAAAACACAATGAAATATTGTCATAGCAGCAACAACAGGAGTGTTGGATATGTATGACACTTGAAAAACGTAACATTGTTAGATTAACAATGCATGTGATAATAATAAATAAATAAATCAATTACCCAGTGCTAGTCATTAGATGACATTAATTACATACAGTACTGTTATGGTAACAGATTTTCTTTCCACTTCCCTAAACTGGTATTTTGAGGTTAAGACATTTGCCAGAAAAGGGGGGAAAACACATAGTAAATAAAAATAAGTTAATAATAACTTTGATTACTTATTTTTTACATTTTCTGGAGACATCACAACAATAATCATGAATGAGTTGTTTTTGGCCATGATAATTGTGTAATGACAATATGATATCCAGTGTAGTGGACTGAGTAGCAGGACATTCCAGAGCAACACAAAGAGAATCCTTTCCCACAGCTGTAAATTTGGTACACAACCATTTCAGAAAGCAGCTGATCCAAAACTCACACCTGAGTGGAACATCTGCAGATCGGCGCTTTACTGCAAAATGACCACTCACGGCCCGCTTGGCGACCACAGGACGTCTCCCACCTCAACCAAAACTTGATAAGGGTCATAAAGTGCCAATTCTGTGGAAAAACCACACATTTGAAGAAGATGGCATTCTTCATGGTGACCTCCCGATTTTTATCTCCTAACACACAGAACTTTTTTTTTTTTTTTTTTCCTTCACTAGTTGTCCTTTACCCTGAGGCTGGGTAAAAGTTTTTACAGTGTTAATAAACCAGTCAGGTCATTTTATAGCGTAACCCCTTATTATTCCTCTCATCAAATTGTGGTGCGCGGTGGGGCTCTAGCTTCATTAATCATCTAACTTGTAGCAGTAGACTCCATACTTGCGCTCAGGGGGTGGGAAGCCAAGGCTGCGAATCCCCGGCTTAGAGGAACCACACTTTCTGCTGGGCAAAGTGATGAGACGCCGAACACTTCCATCAGCCAGCCAGCCAGCTTTGCAGCCGTTCAAACCTGCGAGCCACCAGGCAGCGTAGAGCTGTCCAACTGTGGCGATCTGCGCACCATCGCTCTGACAAGCCTGCTGAGCCTCAGTCTGGTTCATCTTTCCTTTGGGCTGAAAAGAGTAGACTTTCCCTGTAAAAAAACACATTTATTGTGACCCTTTAGAGATCTCTTTATAGTATAGTGAAGTTCAGCACTAATTACTTCTCGTATTCTGTTATGAGATGTTTTCATATGGTAGCTATTTTTACATAGACTTTATAAACATGTGCATTATGAATATTTTGCACATTTAATAACACTTAACAATATTAATTTCTTCTGCATATACAAGAAACTGTGCAAAATCTTCTACTTAAAGAAACTGTGCAATTTCTCATTAGGGTCCAAGCACTAACAGTGCAAGGAACCTCTTGAAACCTTTGGGTTTGTTATTATTCGAGCACTACAGTTCGTAGGACCCTACTGGAACTGCTATGAGTATGACTATTGTTGTTCAGTCAAAACAAACCCTTTTTATTCTTTTTTTCTGCCACACCCCGACGTGAAGGCCGACAATCCTACGGCGAGGATGACATTATTATTTATTATTATTATTATTATTATTATTATTTTTGAAATGTGGGGCTGCAAGGTGGCTGAACAGTGGTCAGCACCGTTGCCTCTCAGCAAGAAGGTCGCCTGTTCACGTCCCGGTGAGGACACCCACGATCTTTCTGTGTGCAGTTTGCATGTTCTCTCCGTGCAGCGTGGGTTTTCTCCGAGTTCTCCGGCTTCCTCCCACTCAGTCCAAAAATATGATGTTAATTAGTGATTCTAAATTGTCTGTAGGTGTGAATGTGAGTGAGCTTGGTTGTCTGTCTCTAAGTGTGGCCCTGTGATAGACTGGTGACCTGTCCAGGGTGTCCCCTGCCTTCACCCTGAGTCAGCTGGGATAGGCTCCAGCCCCCCGCGACCCAAATGAGGATTAAGCGGTGTATAGATGATGGATGGATGGATGGATTTTGAAACACATTTGTGAGAACCTAAACATATTTAAACTTATGAAAATTTGCATGGACATCAGAACCGGCGAAAATATATTATATTATTATAGGGGACTTGGGCAGTGGGAAAATGACTCCACAGAGCCCCCTAGAAAATGTGAACAGAGTACCACAGGGACTGCGTGTCACCTACAGCTATGAAATTCGACAGGCATATGTAGCAGGTGGGGATGCGCAAAAAAGCCAAAATACAAATATGTGCAATATTGTTATTTTCCACATCCAGAGGTATACCTGCAATATCTGAATTTCCACATATGCAAGAATCTGCACAGTATCAACAGTACTTAGGTATATTTCATGTGTATTTTTTATTTTCCATTGATGTTCCCTATATGTTTGCATTACCCCCTTTGTTGCTGTAACATTGCAAATTGCCCCACTGCCAGATTAATACAAAATTGTGCTTTTATGTTAGATCACAAGGTAGAAAGGTCTTAAAACTGGGACCAACTAAACTCTGAGTAGAGACAGTCAATGAATTTTTGGTATTCTCCAGGTACTGAGCTTTTGGAGTTTCAAAGCAGAATTTAAAAAGAATGGAGGCTAGACTTTTATGCATATCTTATAACTTTTACTGCCAAAGTCCTGTGATGTATATGACAATTTTCAGCAATTACACAGTAAATTTGTTTGAATTAGATTTCTTAGACTAATTATAATTAACATATATGTGACCCATCTGCACGAAATCAGCCACATTGCATCTTGAGCTATATCCAAGATACAGCCGGAATTACATTAACACATGATAAAATATTGATTATGGGCTTATTACTTAGATCGGCCCATTTAGTTGTTTTCTACATGTAGGTAACATATAATATTACAGAATATTACGCCCCATATCGCTGTCAAATACAGTCAGGCGCAATGCGACCGGTTTCGTGCAGATGGGTCACAGACTCTATGTATAAAATTGTTCACTATTTAAGTCAGTTTAGTTTAGCACTGCTGGCATGATTTACATTGACAGCATTTTTTTCAAGAGAGGTGACAGAAGATATCCTTCTGGGCAAGGATGGGTTCAGATCAGAGTGGTGACATTTGGATATGAAATTACATGAAAACGAAGTCAACTTTTTCTAAATGTGATTGTGTATGTATCTGTTTTTCACAGAAATAATTTCTGACAAGTTGCAGTTACAAAAAGGACAGGTGAAAATAATGAAATTAATAATGCTGAATATCATTTAGCTGCTTTGTTTTCAGGATCCTGGCTCACAGTGAGTGTTTACTGGGACACCTGAGTAGTGCAGGTGTTCAAGGTATTATGAACATCTGTGCTTTTCATGCTTTCTGCTGTAACAAAGGCCTGTCTTAGATTTTGAGCTTGTGACATAGTTGATCTCGCAGAACCTCACCTTTGAGTGCAGAGGAGAAGCAGAAGCCATCATAGAGACGTTTCTTGTCTTTACTACCATAGCTCCGGACTCCTGGCAGAAGGTTGGGCCCCCCACAGGTCACTCTGGGTTGGTTGATGGGGAACCGGACTGTCCCATCAGCCAGCCAGCCTGCATTGCAACAGTCCAGACCCTCTTTCCAAGCCTGGATGAGCTGTTCGGGAGTGGCCAGTGTGGAATCCTGCTCCTCGCAGGCCTGCTTAGCTTCCATGAAACTCAGTTGGTAACGACCACGAGGGTGCTGATAGGGAAACACCACACCTGGGTGGAGGAGATCATGAGACATCAAAATGTACTATCACAGAAAATACACATTTTTAATGAAACCTTTATGCATCGAAGCAAAACAGTTACCAAGTGGACCTGTGTGAAAAAGTGGTCAAAACCCCCCAAAAACTACCAAACTGTACTGACAACTGGCTGCAGCCAGACTCAACACAATCACGCCAGATTACTAGAAGCCCTGCTCAATCAAATCATCACTTAAATGAAGAAGTGTTGGTGCAGTGGGTCACAGGCTTGTTGAAAAACAAGGTCATCCCAAACATGGTCCCAGTAAGGGCAAACCAGATGGGATGGGATGGCACTGCAGAATGCTGTGGGAGCCATGCTGGTAAAGTGTCCTTTGAATTTTGAATAAATCACCAATGGCGTCACCAGCAAAGCACCATCACACCATCACATCTCCTCTGAACAGTAGATGTTGAGATTTGTCTGCTACTTAAACTCTGTGAAGAATTTATGTGGGCTCTAATCTGAGGTGCTGTTACTTTGTGGTTTCTGAGGCTGGTAACTCTAATGAACTTATCCTCTGCAGCAGAGGTAACTCGTAAAGTACTTGGGCTTTCTTTCCTGGGTCAGTCCTCATGAGAGCCAGTTTCATCAAAGAGTTTGATGGTTTTTGCAACTACACTTGAGGATACATTCAAAGTAAATTTTCGGATTGACTGACTTTCATGTCTTAAAGTAATGATGGACTGTCATTTGTCTTTACTGAGTTCAGTGGTTCTTGCCATACTATGGATTACAACAGTAGTCATATAGGGCTATCCACTGTGTACTAACCCTGCCTCTGCACAACACGACTGAAGGTCTCAACACATTAAGAAGCAAGTAATTCCACAAATTGACTCTTGAAAGAGCCAACCTGTTATTTCAAAACCATCCTGTTCATGAAGCTGATTGAGAGAATGCCATGACTGTGCAAAGCTGTCATCAAAGCAAAAAGGAGCTACTTTAAAGAATCTAAAATATTAAAAATATTCTGGTTTGTTCAGCACTTTTTTGTTGACTGCATAATTCCATATGTGTTCTTTCATGGATTTGATGTCTTCAGTATTAATCTACAATGCAGAATTTAAAATAAATAAAAACTACTGAATGAGAAGGTGTGTTCAAACTTTTCACTGGTTCTGTAAGTTAGGTTAGTTCTGAATTGACTAAAAGTGAGACACCTTTGTGTTGACTCTGTGATGGACTGGTGACCTGTCCAGCTTGTACTCTCCACAAAGACTCAACTCATTTCACTAATTTTAGCCTCCTCTTCTATTCTGTCATCCAGGCCATGAGCTCTAAATCAGTCTTGGTGCGCCACGACAAAGAACATCTCAATTCCTAAAATGCATCTTGAGGATCGAGGAGGTTTCCTGGAGGAGCTATGAGCAAGAATGCACATGTGTAAGAAGTCTTTTCCACACCATTGATATAATATAGGTGTGACACAAAACTGAAATTTAAGCCATGTTTGGAGCAGGACTGATAAATATATGTATATAATGTGTGTGTGTGTGTGTGTGTGTGTGTGTATATATATATATATATATATATATATATATATATATACATGAATGGCATTACCACCTCTGACTGCAAACACTGACAGCTGAGCAGAGTCCACATGGAGCTTCAAATCGCTGAAAACATAGTAAAATGTATAAACTTTACATCCACGAATGCAGCCTAAAACCTTACAAATATTATGATAAAAAAACATGACCTGCAGTCAGATGAAATACACCAAAGTAAACATCTATTTACCTGACACTGTGTGTACTTTCTCTGTTGCTGTTGGGGAAATCGAGGTTAGCCGATGTCTGGGTCAAGAGGGCCAGAGAAACCAAGACCAAAGTCAAGGTTTCGCAGAGAGCCATCACCCTGGATGTAAGAAAAAATCTTTGATGCTCTCTGTGAACTCCTGAAATCTGAAGAGAGAAATGTGTTCAACTAGTAAGTTACAAAAAGCAGAGGTAGTTTGTGTATGTCATGGCGAGTCAGACCCGGACTTTTGTCCAGCATCTAAAATTCAGGGCAGATTCCATCATATGCAGGTGAGGCAGAAATACTTCAGTTGTCATGGCAAGACGTTGGAATTTACTGCACCGCCACAGAAACGCCTTTTGATTAAAAACTCACAATTTTCACCATGACTCATCAAGAACGTCTAAAAAAAACTTAAGACTACTTTCTGAGTGGATTATTAATTTTGTTATATGCAGAAACGCACAAATAAATGTTTACAGTACATGTAGTTTATCATTATGTTTCCTCTTTAGGTCCATACTGCAGTGAGCCGAGTGGTCAAATATTTGGAACTGACCACAGGAGTACAATACCCATCTGCTGATACAGTCCTCCATGGGTATCTTCACTTTGAAGCCCTGACAGGCCATTACTATGAATATTCATGTGTGACATGTGGTGATCATCCACCAGTGGTCATCATGGACCTCCACAAAAAGGGAGCCTTCCATTTGCGAGGTAAAGATGCTTTCATAGAATAGACAGTGTTAATTACAGACTGGATTTCTCTCTGAATTAACATTTTGTGTAATATTTTCACATTATTTCTTTAGTAAGTGACCTTCCACAACCCCCAGAAGGCTTTAATGGCGAGGTTGACATTGGACTTTTTTGGGAGGCACTTTCAATGGAAAGGATTGGCCGAGGATTTGCAACAAGTAATAATGAATACTTCGTAAATTTGTCAATGACTGAGAATAGAGATGAACATATCAGCATAACCAGAATGTTCCATAACATGTTTACATTTTTCAGTATGCCAGCTAATTTCAACTCTAACATGTATTGACATAGTTTTATTTTCATATATCCAAAGGTCACCAAAACAATCCATTTGCAGTTCTGCCAACTTTTCATTTTTGGGCACCATGGATTGGCAAAAATCTTGCAGAGAGCAGAAAGCAGAGATCTTGCTCAGCAAATTAATCCTGGGAACTGGACTGAGAAGACTGGGCATGATATTGTGGTGACTAAAGATGTATAATTAGCTACTTCAAAAAAAATATTACTGTTGCCCCTACTATTTACTTCATATACTATTTACTTCATACAGAAGTCATCATGTGATGGAGAAGTCAGTAGCTTTCAGTTATGTCTCTAATCTCATCTTTTTAAATCAATTTTAGGGCCTGCCACGCCAGATGTACGGAAATGACTGTGGGATTTTTATGCTTATGGTAAGGTCACTTTTTTTAAACTGAGTTTACGCAAGCTTCTGTCAACACTGAAAATAAAATGCTTTATTTCCCATCCTCTCTGCTACAGTTTGCGCTTTCCACTGTCACAAACCAGGGATTTGAATTCCAGGAGGTTAGTTTTAAAAAACCTTAAAACAAAGAAGAAATTGCTCTTTCCAAATGTTTCTGTCACTGCAATATACTATGCAAGAAAGGATACATTTTGAACTCATAAGTCTTCTTGGCACTATCACGCTGCTTTCAGATGGACATACCATTAATCTGGAAGTGGTGGTGTCTTTTTCTTATGGAGCGTTTTAAAACAGAGGGGTACGAAAATCCTTAACAAAATGTGTACATTAATTTTAGTGGATCAGTACCCTGTCAGTAGAACATCTGGTAGTTACATTGAAACCTGGACAGTGAAGCGCAACAAGACAGGCTTTTCGCATATCTAAAGGTTCTGCTGCACAGAACACCAACAAAACTGAGCTTCACAGATGAGGTTCAGTTCATCTGTGGTTTTTTATTTCCAGAGGTAGGTTTAGCCATGTAATAATGCGCTTTTGGCGAACTGCTAAATGAATAGCATGCCTTTCAAGGCTCTGCTTGTGTGTGTACTGTCTTACATAACCTTCTCTGCTGTAAAATGGTATAGTTAAATTATGTCGTTTAAACATGAAATATTTTCTTCAGGTAGGCTATCATATATGGCCTGTCTGTGCAGGAAGATCTGTCCTTCCAGGAGGCTGAGCAGATGTACTTATGTGGTCCAGTTTGCAATTAAAGGTCAGGGTAAAGGATGTACTTTTTTAGATTGCACAATGCACAAAATCTTAACTTTACCCTAATATGAGCAGTAATCACCTGAATGAAGGAGTACTAGTGTTAATGAATGAACCGTTTTTAAGTGTTCCTGTTGACCCTACAGAGATATTTTTGTCTGTTGATTATTTCAGTGAAGTGGAGGAATTTTCCAGAGGCTTGGAGAAAGAATTAAAGAAAGAAGGGAGACAATTCAGTCGGTAGGTCGTGCTCACTTCACCATCGGCATGAAATCATGAAATGTTACAAATAAATAGTTTTTCCTAAGAAAGATGTTTATCAGATATATCAATGCTGTGTCTACTCATGCATGTTAATGTCTGTCTCTGTGTGTCTCTCAGGAGGGAGTGAGAGCAGAGATGTCGCAGGGGGAGCTAATTTGTGTGTGCACGCGTGCATGCATGAGCTTTTATTTTTGCTTTAATGTTGTAAAACAAATGTAAATAAATATCTGGCTCCAGAGTTGTCATTGTGCATCGCCTCTTTCCAACCTTCCACACTTTCCTGTTTGACATCTAGTGCCCACAAAGTCCACAACATGTGATCCATTAATATTTTACCTGATAATAACACAAATATGTTAAATACACAGTTTGTCCAAATGCAAGTTTTAGCAACCAAGGAATTATCATTATATTTGTAATAATTAGCATTTTGGGTGGAATAAACCTTTAAAATCTTAACTTGTTTGTTTAAAAATACTCTTCTTAAATAAAACTTTTTAAATTGTAAGTATATTTTGAGTTAAATCACCCTTTAAAACTACGTCGCGCACCCGAACTAGAAGCGGTGCACTTAAACAGCCTCAGAAGAAGAGTACAGCTATGTGCAGCCCTCCGGCTCTGGAGACATAACCTTCTCGATTTTTCGGCAGTCCTGGTGTGTGACTGTGGCGATTTTGCTGAGTTTTCGTGCAATACAATAGTTAACTAAAGCTACATTCACAGTTCGCGGATACTCACAGGGCTGGGAAACTAAACTCTCTGGGCTCTGGAAAATCCGAGTCCGGTGAGAGCTGGAGAAACAGCTGGAGCGGAGCCGGTGGTAGCGTTCAGGGGAGAAAGGTCGCGCAGCAGAATAAAGTGAGGACTGAACGTCTGGCAGAGTGTGTGCCCCTTTATAGGGAGGCGGGGAACAGTGACATGTCTGCGCTGTGTACACAGCAGAGCATGAATGAATGAAACCCCGCTGCTTGGAAAATGAGGGGACAAGGCATTTCAGTCAAGCAGTTCCAGTGTGCCTCATGTGCTCTGAAAACGTGGCGTTACTTAAACGTAGGAACGTAAAGCGTCTCTACGAAACAAAGCACAGCTGTTTGAGCAAAGTTACCCCCTGAAGTCCGAGCTGAAGGCAGGCATGCAGTCACCGAGCTGCAAGATGTGTGCACATCTGTCATGACTCATCACATTTACTGCCCAGCAACGTGCAACGAAACCTTTGATTTAATGTTTTCTGAGGATGTTGACTTTTTTACTTGAAGTGGAAGCCTTCAGTTCTTTAGGCTGGGATCTCTTTGAGATAAAAGGGTTATTTGGCTCTGTTTGCACTTTTTACAATGTATTTTATTCTGAGGTTTTTGTTTTCTCTAATCTAAAATAAAGGCCTCAGTTTGTGTTTTTTGTTTTGCCTGGGACTACTGGACAAAATAGTTGGTACCCCTCGGTTAATGAAAGAAAAACCCACAATAGTCACAGAAATAACTTGAATCTGACAAAAGTAATAAATAAAAATTCTATGAAAACTAACCAATGAAAATCAGACATTGCTTTTGAACCGTGGTTCTACAGAATTATTAAAAAAAATAAACTCATGGAACAGGCCTGGACAAAAATGATGGTACCCTTAACTTAATATTTTCTTGCACAACCTTTTGAGACGATCACTGCAATCAAACGATTTCTGTAACTGTCAATGAGACTTCTGCACCTCTCAGCAGGTATTGTGGTCCACTCCTCATGAGCAGACTGCTCCAGTTGTCTCAGGTTTGAAGGGTGCCTTCTCCAGACGCCATGTTTCAGCTCCTTCCACAGATGTTCAATAAGATTTAGATCTGGGCTCATAGAAGGCCACTTCAGAATAGTCCAATGTTTTCCTCTTAGTCATCCTTGGGTGTTTATCGCTGTGTGTTTTGGGTCATTATCCTGTTGTAAGACCCATGACCTGTGACTGAGACCAAGCTTTCTGACATTGGGCAGCACATTTCTCTCTAGAATACCTTGATAGTCTTGAGATTTCATTGTACCCTGCACAGATTCAAGACACCCTGTGCCAGATGCAGCAAAGCAGCCCCAGTTGTTGTTGTTGTTTTTTTGTTGTTTTTTTAATAACTCTGTTAAACCACAGTTCAAATCCAATGTCTGAGTTTCATTGGTTAATTTTCATAGAATTTTTATTCATTGTTACTTTTGTCAGATTCAAGTTATTTCTGTGACCGTTGTGGGTTTTTCTTTCATTAACCGAGGGGTACCAACAATTTTGTCCACGTGTATATGTAAAAGAGCTAACTGTGCACTCAGTTAAACACATCCTGCACTGAAAATTGACAATAAGTATTGTTGAAACCATGAAAATGTGGCCATAAGGGAAGGCTACAAGACACAAACTGGACTTCGGTTCAGACCTTTTACTTGGAGAAAATTTTAAAAACTGGACCTCAGTGACTTTTAATTGAATACCCCTGCTTTAAAGTCATGAGGCTAACTAATAGAAACAGTGATTTTTACTGATGAAGGAGCCTTTTTTTAATTGCAGATTAACATGCAGAAGAAGATGCGTCTGACGGGCATCATCACTCAGGGAGCCAGTCGAATGGGCACAGCTGAGTACATCAAAGCCTTCAAGGTGGCGAGCAGCTTTGACGGAAACAGTTACGTCTCTTACAAAGGGGATAATCAGCGGAGGGACAAGGTTAGACGTTCTTTTCTATTAAATATATGTGCACAGAAAGCTTCCCTTCCTTCAGTTCCCTCACCTCATCGCCTATGTTTGTGTGTTGCAGGTTTTTGTGGGCAACACAGACAACGATAGCACAAAAACCAACCTTTTTGACCCTCCGATCGTGGCCCAGTACATCCGCATCATCCCCGTGGTTTGTCGCAGGGCCTGCACGCTGCGCATGGAGCTGGTGGGCTGTGAACTCAATGGTAAACACAAAGAAAGCATCCGATACAGCTTTAACTCTCCCAGCAAGCACCAAAAGTAATTTGATATTAATAAAAAGAGACGGATGACCCATTTCAGGTTCAAGTCAAGTCAAGTTATGCCCTCGGTGACCTTTCCACTTTGAGCCAGATCAACAAAAACATGCAAAATTAAAGTGATGAGTCTCTTTTGTTTACCTTTCCCTCTGTTTCTGGTTTTCCTGTCTTGATGTCTTCTTATTGTGGTCTTGCTGACAGGCAAAATGACAGTCAGAGAGTTTATTTCAACTGCACAACATCTAGCCATGGTCAGACCACAGAGAAAATGTATAGTATAAACAGCACCCTGTGGGTTAGCGCTCGCTCTGCAACAATAAAAGCAGCAATTCTAAGCAGTCAGACAGAAACACACACATTTGTGTTTTTTTCCACCTCCAAACTGTGTCTTCTTCAATCACAACAAGTTAAACATTTCCAGATATACAGATTTAATGTGCACTGAGCTCTATGCACTCCATGGCATGTGTTCCTCTACTCTGTGCACCTCTTTCTCTTCCTTCCACTTGATCATCAGTGGGTGTTAATTTATTTCAGTCAGTCACATGCTTTGTTGCTCATTTCTTCAAGTGCTGAGTGAAGTTGATTCTTCTTTTCTTTGGGTGAACTCACTTGTCTTTTTCTCCTCTTTGTCTGCTCTTTCTCTTTCTCTCGCTTTGGGTTTTTCCTCCCTCCGTCTTTCCGTCTGCTTTGGATTCACAGTTTATTCAAACACGGCAGGTTGCACAGAGCCTCTGGGGATGAAGTCTCGGCTCATCTTGGATAGCCTCCAGCACTTTTCGTACGTGGGGCATCGACACCTTCACATGGCACCCTCAGTTTGCCCGACTGGATAAGGCGAGGAAGACAAACGCCTGGTCTCCTGCTCACAACAACCGCTCAGAGTGGATCCAGGTGAGGGAAACGTTTGAGGTCAGATGTCAGTATTGATTGAATGTCAAACAGAGTATCAGTTTTATTTTATTTTTTTAACCAGGCTGATCTCGAGAAAACAAAGCGCCTCACAGGCATCATCACTCAAGGTGCAAAGGACTTTGGGGTGGTCCAGTTTGTGTCAGTGTTTAAAGTTGCTTATAGCAATGATGGGGAGTCATGGAGTACAGTGAAGGACGACAAGACCGAAAATGATAAGGTCAGACATACATGAATATTTTAGTATGTATAATAGTAGGGGAGAGTGGGGTAAGATGAGCCTGTGGGTTAGTTAAGCCACCCCTTGTTTCTAGAAAACTATAGAAGAAATTAGTCATGTTACCAAAACTTTTTGAAGAGGTATCCATGATACTCTCCCAGTGAAGAGAAGGAGCACGTGGAGTAAGAGTTAAGCACATTTTAGTTACCAAAACTGTTTTTTGCTGTTCAAAGTACATTTTTCATGTTTATGGTTTTATGGGTGTTGGGTCTGAACAATTATTGAGAGACATTTGAACAATTTTACACGTGTTAGTGCATTAGTAAGCTACAATATAAGGATAAACTGTCAACATGAAGTTAGCGTTTTGAAACAAATCATCAGGAGGAATGCAGGGAAATTTTAGAGGGCACTAGCTGTAATGAGCACAAAGACAGAATTGTACTTGATCCAAAATCAGTTACTCCAGTTTTTAAATCATTATAATCTAACACAGTGACAGGGCCAAACAGTCTGTTTTTCATTTAAAAACATTCGTAGAGGAACTCACTCCAGCAAGAGATGCTAGTTGACCCCAGGGCAAGATCATAGCTCAGGGGCCATATATGGTCATGTCATACAAATAGCTGCCACAAGTGTCTGTGCCAGAATCCACCAGCGCCTGCATTTTCTCTGTCGACTTAAGAGCATTCTCCACAAGTTGGGTGCAAGTCCAGGAGGATGCACGCTGTGAGTTCCCTGTTCTGTTCACTGACAGGTCAGACAAGCTTTAATGTTTTTCCTGAACTTCTAGCACAGACAGTTCAGTAAAAAAAAGTCTAGGCTTGTCTGATCCTTGAGTAAACAATCTGCCCAAGGCTTTTGCAAGATGCTGCTCATTCCACCCAGGTGTTCAGAACATTCATGCTAGGAAACTACACAAGATATAGATCCAAAAAAGCAGCAAAAAAGGGTTAGGTGGTTAGAAAAGAGGGATTTACTCAGGCAACAGGGAACAGGGGACACCAGGAAGCACGTGAGGGAAGCCAAGTGATGGACGGATGTCCAGGAGAGGTTCTAAAAGTGACAGGGAGGCTGAACAGCTGTGGCTGGAGCTCGGCTGCAGAGGCTGGGCTGGGGAATATGTCTGTCGGGGAGGTTCTGGTAGCAAAAGCAGACAAAGGCAAAAGTCAGACAAAGCAAGTTTCTGTAAGCACAAGACTCCAAAGCAATCATGCAGGCCCATTACCACTGATGGGAGAGTAAATCCACTGGCGCTGGAACACAGGTGGAGGCAGGCTTTATCCAGTGCTGATTAGTAATGACCTTCAGGTGTGAGACCTCTCCTGTTCAAAAACCCCACCCAGCCTGAAAAACACTACCAAAACAACAGGGAACGACAACTGAACAATGTTTCAAAATAAGAGCGAATACCTCAGATCAGCAAAATTCATGAAATTGTGCCGATTCAGCTTGGTTGCATCCAGTGGAAATTTAATTCAGGTCACTACTTTGTCTTAACCCTTTCAACACTATAGCCCGCTATACCTTATTACATTTTCACACTTGTATTTTACCTGTGTGTATATGGCAAGAGTAAACTTCCATATATATTTAACTGTCAACTTGTTCACTTTTGATTGATACCAGATATGTAATGATGTGAAGTCTACTTAAGAATTTATTAGTGATTAATTAAAATCATATCTGATCATGAATTTCAAGCAAAGTTACTTAGTGTTGAAAGGGGTAAAGGAAAATGCATGATACTTTTGCTCAGTGACTAAATATTTTACCCCAACTTTTATTTGCAGCTTTTCCAAGGAAACATTGACAACAACACCCACAAGAAGAATCTGTTTGAGCCTCCATTCTACGCTAAATATATCCGTGTCATCGCTCTATGCATGGAGCTGCTCGGCTGTGATGACTAGAAGCTCATCAATAACCAATAATCAAAGCTCCACCTCCTCCGACTGCAGCAGAGAATGGATCCACCGAGCTCATGTTTGCTGCATAGCTTGGAGTTTAACACTTGTGGCACTAACTAGTGACTTTTTTATGTTTGTTGTTTTTTTTATGTTTATGTTGATATATTTGTTTGAAATTGCAGCTTTGATTGCTCACAGAGTCCCTTATTTAGTAACTATGCTTTAAGCGTTTTTTTTTTTGTTTTTTTTGTTTTGTTTTTCTAATTTGCACAGATTTGCTTAGTCTGAATGATTTGTTCCCTTTAAGAATCCAAACTCTGCTCTTATTTTGTAGTTTTAACAATCTGCAGAGGTAAAACATCGTCACTATCATCCTCACTGTGTCTTATTCTGTCTATTATTCAACTGCTGTTTGGTTACTCAAGCACAAACTAGCATAATGACGCAGGGTCGGTGCAATACAGCGGATATTTTGGCATTTCCAACCATTCAGAAAGACAAAGTATGTCCAAGAGTAGAAAATTAAAACTTTCAAAGTAGTACTGCAGCACACTGATGAAGCCAGTAAATTGTAGGGCAAGGTCTTCATGTTGTGTCTGTTTGTTGTTGTTTTTTTTTTTTTTTTACACATTTTGACACATTTTTCAGCTTCATTCTTACATAAAATTTCATTCTAATTTAAAACTTTTTACCACAAATGTGAAATATGTAGAAAGATACATATACAGACCCTTTCCAAAAAATTAGATTATCACGGAAAAGTTGTTTAATTTCCATAATTCGATTCAAAAAGTTAAACTTTCATAGATTGTAGATTCAGGGCTCACAATTTAAATGATTTCAAGTATTTATTTGTTTATTTTTACATAATTTGGGCTTTCAGCTCATAAAACCCACGAAAACAGGATTTTATAAAATTAGAATACTGTGAACAAATCACCATTTACTTCTCAGTTTTTACAGAAAAAAAGAAAGAAATTAGGATAACATCAAATCAATCAAACTATGTTACTTTCAAAAAGATGTGTCAATCCCTTTGCCTTAATCACTGCCTTGATGCGCCATGGCATTCAGGCAATCAGCCTGTGGCATTGCCTGGGAGTTATGGAAGCCCAGATTTCCTTGATGCTTGCTGTCAGCTCTTTGTTTTTGGGTCTGGTGCCCCTCATTTTCCTTTTGATAATACCCCATAGATTCTCAATGGGGTTTAGGTCCAGCGAGTTGGCTGGCCAGTCAAGCACTGTGATGGCATGGGCATCAAACCAGGTTTTGGCGCTTCTGGCAGTATGGGCAGGGGCCAGGTCCTGCTGGAAGATGAAATCTGCATCTCCATACGGATCCTCAGCAGAAGGAATCATGAAGTCCTCTAAAACATTCTGGTAGACTGTTGCGGTGACTTTGGATTGAGTTTACCAACACCTGCACCGGACATTGCACCCCAAATCATGACTGACTGTGGATATTTCACACTGGACCTCAAGCAGCCTGGGTTCTGTTCCTCACCCATCTTCCTCCAAACCCTTGGACCTTGATTTCCGAATGAAAGGCACATTTTACTTTCATCAGAAAGGAGGACCTTGGACCACTGGTCAACAGTCCAGTCATTCTTCTCCTTGGCCCAGTTGACACACTTCCTACGTTGGCTCAGGCTCAGAAGTGGCTTGACCTGAGGAACCCAACATTTGTAGCCCATCTCCCAGATGCGTCTGAATGTGATGGTTTTTGAAGCTGTGACTCCCGCCTCGTTCCACTCTTTCAGATCTCTTCCAGATTCTTGAATCTTCTCTGTTTGATAATCCGCTGAAGCCCACGGTCATCTCTTTTGCTGGTGCATCTTCTTCTGCCACATTTTACCCTTCCACTAGACTTTCCATTGAAATGCTTGGACACAGCACTCTGTGAACAGCCAGCCTCCTTAGCTATGAACATCTGTGGCTTACTCATCCTGTGGATGCCAGATTTCCGATGGTTTTCTGGCCAGTTGTCAAGTCTGCAGTCTTCACCATATTGAACCGAACTGAGGCAACTGAACCAAACTGAAGCAATTTAATGACACCAGGGGAAACGTGTGCAGGTGCTTTGAGTTTAGTAGATGATTAGTGTGTGACACTCAGTTTAAAACATTCATGCCCTGCAAAATTTGGGCTGATTTCTTCACAGTATTCTAATTTTTTGAATTCCTCTTTTCGTGGGTTTTAAGAGCTGGAAGCTCAAATTATGTAAAAATAAACAAATAAATACTTGAAATCATTTCAATTGTGGGCCCTGAATCTAAATTTCTATGAAAGGTGAAGGCAGGGGACACCCTGGACAGGTCACCAGTCTATCGCAGGGCCACACTTAGAGACAGACAACCAAGCACACTCACATTCACACCTATTATTTAGAATCACCAATTAACCTCAACATGTTTTTGGACTGTGTGGGAGGAAGCCAGAAAACCCGGAGAGAACCCACGCTGCACGGGGAGAACATGCAAGCTCCACGCAGAAAGATCCCGGTGCCCCCACCGGGACGCGAACCGGCAACCTTCTTGCTACCAACTGCGCCACCTTGCAGCCCTAATTTTTTATCATCCAACCAAAAAACATTTTTTTCCATGAGTGTGCAATTTAGATAGAGAACACCATAGTGAGCACATAAACATGCAGACACCTAGAGATTACTGGTTTTGTGAAGAACCACAAAGCATCCTCACCCTCACAGCCTCATTTATGGAGTATGACAGAGTCAGCACGCCATCTGGTGGATGTGGTGCACTGAAACACACTTTCAAACTTCACCCGTGGCTCCACCTGCAGCAGCTACAGCAGTAACATACTGCTGACACGCTGATCTATTTCACTATTCATCTATTTTTTGTCATATATCTACAGTCAGAATGACCAAACCTTTAACTTCTTTAACTTCAATACCTAATACTTGCTGCTAATACTTACAGGATGTACTCTTACTTGAGTAGGATTTTTCATGCAGGACTCTTTTTTTCCTTTTTTTTTGACATTGTTGTATTGGTACTTTTGCTTAAATAAAAGATCTGAATATTCCTTCACTACCTCTGCTCTGACTCATATATTATATTAATATTAATATATTATAATAATATTGACCCATAACTGTGAGTCAGTGCCTGATGGAGTAAAGATTTTTTTTTTTTTTTTTAGCAGGATACACGTTCTGTCAGACCTGCAGTATTTCTGTCTTTTAGTCAGTGACAAAAGAATGAGACAATAATTGTTGCCTGTGCAAAAGCTGTTAAATGTCAAAGCTTAATTACCTCTTAGGTCTTAATTTACTGTTTGGAAACTTTCAAGGCAGGTGAAGAATTGTCATCTGAGGACCTTTCTGGGGTTTAGTGAATGCTGTGCTTCTCATACATTGTGGTAAGACTCTATAGATGTTCTCTGGTGTGACCCAACGTATATGAAGCTTGATTAATGTTGTCATGGTAACTACAGGATGAGTGAACTGCATGACCTGCAATCGCTTTAGGTGACTCATTCACTGATGATATAGCTGCGGCTGTCCTGTGGTGTTCGGCAGCAGATCCTGACTTGACCGTGGAGGCCTACAGGCAGGTGCCTCTTGATCCTTCGGGTCCTGTGGTTGCGAGGTGGAGCCTCCTTGAATTGGACACGTTCTGGTGCAGATGTTTGATGGGATTGGGACCTGGGGAGTTTGGAGGGTCAACGTTTTGGGTTCTTTCTGCTGGGGAAGGCTGTTTGGTTGGAGAGTGCTGTTGCCATGGAGGGATGTGTTTCGTCTGCAGTAATGTTTTGCAATATAACAAAATGATCAACGTTGTTCACTTCACCTAGTTTTAACGCACACACACACACAATGCCGACCCAGTCTCACGGCAATTCATGAAATAGTCACGAAACTGTGCCACATTTTTTCCCCTATCAGACAGCACATATACTTTGATGTTTTTGTCCTTCTTTTCTTCTGACAGTCAGGCATTAACCAATTTTACTGTCATGGCCCGTCCACACTAATAACTATAGAGATCACTATAAAGATGTGCGCGCCCACACTGACCAACGTTAACATTCTGTAAACACCGGTGCTGAGCTGAAGTGTGATGATATGGAGCTGCACAAGCAAACGGGTGTTGGGGAGATGACATTTAACATTTATAAATGGCACCATGAATGTCTGTTGATATACTAAAACACTCTGACAATGTTCGTCTGCAGAAGGATCCATTAGAAGTTTAAGCAAACCATCTATTATGGATGCTTATACAGTTTGATGCTTATCAGTATCATTGGTAGCACTACTGGCAGTTTTCAGTCTAACTAGATAATGATCACACACAAGATAATTTCTTTAAGGATTTCTCCATTCATGTATTATTAAAGCATAACATGACTGTCTGTATTGACTGAGCATCTCACAGCAGGAACATGGCATCAATGTAGTCCTACATTTAGAGATGAGAGAAAGGGCCTTTGAAGAAGAAGTTTAAATTCAGACAGTGGCTGTAGCAGTCTGAGGTTCTGGACCTTCTGGTCCCCCATTGTTAGAAACCAGGGCTGAGACATGTAATCAGAGGTGCTGCTGCTCCATCAGATGATCATTTAGCTCCATCTAGTGGACACACAGTACAACTTCATCTTCTGATGTGGGATGTTTCTGCAACAGGTGAGACATATTATTCAGTTTTGCGTTAGAATAAGGAGCATTTTCTATTTTGATCATGTCTCATGTGGTAACGAACATCATGTTATATGTAAATTGGCGTTGGCAATAACTGATAAAAAGGTGAAGCACTGTCATTAAAATGTCTCAGTACATCGAGGTGTCCAATCCTGGTCCTCGAGGGCCACAATCCTGCATGTTTCAGATGTTTCCCTCTTCCAACACACCTGATTCAAATGATCAGGATCGTTATCAGGCTTCTACAGAGCTTGATGATGAGCTGAAAACTATCAGTGAATTACCGTGAAACTGAAACAATCCTTAAAAGCTGATGATTCTCAGGTGAGTTCTGGAGCGCC